TCACCCACTTTTCACCATGTTCTGTATCCTAATCCACCTATCCCCTTCACTGTCATTGTTACTGCGTTGGCACCATGCTTGTTTTCAAGCCGGTGGTAAATATATGTAGATCCAAGAGGTTGAGATGGATAATCCATTGTACCCTAGGTTAGTTGACAAATGAATTGATCCTTCACAGATGATGCCACAGAACGATAATTGGCAAATAAAGTATGACACAGGGTTCAGGAGCCACTGTGTGTCGCACGGTGCACTGTAGCATGCCCTGCATTGTGATTCCAACAATGAATAAAATATGACAAAATGGTTAAAGCCAACATCCCGTGTTTCAGTTGTTTCAGTTTTTACAACCATTACCAATACACTTTCGTGCGCCGGTTTTGGTCGCTGTCTTTTAGCCGCCAATTTGGATACCAGAGCAGAGTTAAAAATTAGAATGTTGAGAGCAAATTCAAGTGGGAGATAGCAAATTTATAGAGACTGATGCTACAAGAATAATGAGTACTTGCATGAGTACCACTGTTCGCGACACCTAGTCATATTGCCCAGTGTCTCTAACCATCGGTGATCATGATCTCGCGGCCCCCAGCCAGGGAGAATAACGGGATCTACGTGACCCAGTCTCCTGGTTAGGGTTTTCATACCCTCGCTCCAGGTCTTCGTTTAACCGCCCCTGTTTACCATAATGTGATGTGTATTTCGAATAGCCAGAAAGATTTAGGCTTGATACAATGAACTGAATGTCTCTTCCGGCGCCGAACTGTATGAATCGACGACAAGACTAAGTATCGCGAAAAAAATGGGATGAAACAGACTTCGACGAATCAAAGGACTAGTAAATCCGAAGACACAATCCGTATTAAAAAAAACTTACATGCCAATTCTCACGACCGCTATTTGATACAGAAGTCAAACTGCCATCTGAGGTGAGGAAAATCAAATCGTACCGATCGGGATCGTCCATGTGCCGATTGTGTGACTTCAACATATCATGGCGACGCACTGAGTCCCACAAACCACGAAGAAACCCCGGATGTGCTGAGCTGATGGTAAAAACAAGGGGAGGGGGCAGTTTCTAGCTTCAAGGAAT